TTTTTTTTTTTTTTTGCTGTTTGTTGTCTGTATATTTGCCAGACTGAGTGCTTAGCTTATGTTGTATTCAATTTTCAGGTCATGGAAGAATGTCTTCCATATAGGCGACCGAGCTGTCATATACATCTTCATTGCCGCTTCGTACACTCCATGGTAAGTACAATCACATTTCCCTGGGGAGTTGCCAGTTTGAATATAGTAAGCATGTTATGTATTTCCAAGCATGTTCAACTAAAATATTTGTAATCAGTCTAGATAAAGCCCTTTGTCAGTCCATTTATACTTTTATATGATTTATTTATAAATTCATGTTAAGTGACATTTCTACATTTTTTTACAGGATTAAACTTTTAAAAGTATACAGGTATCAAAAACAAATATAATCTCTTGACTTCTAAGTGCATTTTCCTGACAAACTTAGAAAATTTTGGTTGAATATTCTTGATAGATATATAAATAGAAAGATAAATAGATGATATGTACTTGTGCATACATTTTTTAGCAATTTCTATTGTACATGTATTAGATTTTTAAAATTTTTTGTTAGCCACAGTTAATTATTTAAACCCATGTGGTTCACAACAGGATGTCAGTTTAACCCCAAAACCACTGGAAGCAGGCATTTGAAGGCAGCCATCATCTGCTGGTTGCTTGCTCTCAGGCCACTGTCACTGGGTATATTTCCATTAACTTGATACAATATTCAAGTAAGCTGTCACAATTTATCACAGGAAGCCTACCTCCAGGGGCATTTCAGTTAGAGATACTTTTAATATTTTATTGGAAATATTAGGGTCATATGCACTCTGTTGATATTATGACAGCGGGTTGTCTTAATGCAACCATGCATTTGGGCTTATAGTATTGAGTAACTTCCTAATAATATGATGAAAGATTTGTTTAAAAATGCTTATATAATTACTGTGCATGATATCATATAAGTTTTAAGAAAAATGTTATCGTGATATTATTCTCTACATAAAGGTTCTTAGGGTACAAAACAAAAGACAGCAGAGGAATCTTAGACGAAGAAATATTCATTTCTTATCCCCATTTGACATTGACAATTATTGATTATTTCATCATAATTTCAACAGTGCAGAATATAAAATAACACGTAGATAATATTACAATTTCTCCTAGACATAATGTTTCTTTATATTTTGGTGCATGTAATTAAAAGGCTTGAAAGGATGTTTAAAGAACAGGTGGGTGGATATAGAAATTCCTGGAACATTTGGAAAATATTAATCCCGCCAACTTTAGAAATGCTGACATCTTTTAAAGAGCAGACTGTTTTACTGCCAATGTTATTATTGTTGTTTGATAAAGAGGTACATACTAGTATGATAGACAACTAAGACAGTACATAAGATTGTCTTTTCCTTAGCTTAATGTTTTTCGTCTGTGTTCATGTGTGTGTGTATGCGTGTGTACCCCCCTAACTCAAGGCCCCCTAGCTACTCTAATGTGCAATTTCCTCTTTGATTTTCAAGTGGCCAATAAAGGTCATGATAAATTAGAATGCAATATTGCTTTTAGGAACATCTACTGGTATGCTACCAGTGCCTACCACATACCGTATTGTGATATTAATCTGGGTGCATCAAGTATGGTTCTTGGTCAAATACTGTTGTTGTCCTGCTTGTCTGACTGCTCCTTGGGGAGCCAAGACTCTAGGGTTTTACTTTGTGGGTTTGTCTGAACAGGAAAAAGATTCAAGGCTCATATCAATTTTGTTTAAACCAAAAAGCTAAGTTAAAATGGAGTTAAGTTGGCAATATTTTAAAACACATTTCTCATTTCTTAAACAAGTAAATGTTATTCTCTAGCACTGGGTGCTGATTTCATATGTCTAAATTGGGATTGGATTGGCATGGCTTCACAAAAAGAAATTGAGGAGTCTAATTGGGAACATGTAACTTTTGGGCCCCTCCCCCTAGATCCCCCCCTCCAGTCAACCAATACACAACATAAATTTTCATTGTGTACTAGTAATTGAACCCAGGGTGTGCTTCAATAAAAAAATTCAACTGCTATTTATGCTCTATTTCTGTTTTATTCAGGCTGACCCTGAAGGACATGCAGACCTGGGGCATGCAGACACTTTGGCTGGTTTGGCTAGCAGCTGTTCTGGGGATTGTCTATCAGTACACCTTCCACGAGAAGTTAGACATCTTTCTCTCTCTCTTTCTCTCTCTCTCTCTCTCTCTCTCTCTCTCACACACACACACACACACACACATATACAGACAAATACACATTTACCTGTCAAAGCCATCTGACAGTCAGAACAATAAACAAAAGAATCAAAGATAAATGTGAAAACTATTGATTTTTTGGGCAAGTTTCATTAAACCTGTTTGGCAAATTGTTGTCTCTAGACAGGTCATTATGCAGTGATTTACAGCAATTTTGCACTAATTGTCAATATTCTGCTTGCAGCCTTGTATGCTGAAAGCAGTGGGTAATCACTAGAATAATGCACTCTAGGGGCTATAAGCATGCATGGGAAAGTTTAAATCACCAGTTCACTGACTTAAGATATGCACCATGTTGATTGTGGTTTGTTAATCAATGTGTACAGTGGACCACATTTCCAAAAATGCTGTTTACATTTGTTGACAAATGCATGTTGAGTATATATCCACAGCATGGCAATAAATTTCTGAGGTCTGTCAGGTGATTGATTGTGCATCCATTTTAATCATTGCAAGAAAGGAAGAGAAACTGAATGAAATTACCCCTTGAGTGAAGATTAATGACCTTACACAGGGTTTTATAAGATCTTTTGACAAAGTATAATTTTTGACAGTATATAACTAAACCAACAGAGCTTTAAATATAACTAAAATTCCACTCACCTTGTATAGATCTGTATACACTGGAGCCCCCTAATAAATTAAAGCAGAATCTAATAAATCAAATTCCACATTTTCTGTTTTAATTTTTGAACAGTATTCAGCACCAATATGATTTATATAAATATCAGAAGCATTAATTATTTTAAAAAGGCTTTGTGAAAGGTATAGTATGGCTGTGTAAATTGCAATCGCAAACATGAGCCTAGCTTTTCAGTACATATGTGCAGATTAAGACAGGTCATAGGCTAAATAATTGCAGTGGTTTATAGACACTACTAGTAAGTAGGTGACATTACACAGGCATGAGTGCAATCTCTCTCTCTCTCTCTCTCTCTCAAAAGAGACCAAATGTCTATTTACATTCCTGAAAATGTTTAGATAAGTGCATAAACTTGAGGTTCATGTTACATGTATCCCTAAACACCTGTAATCAAAGGCTAAAACTTTAAAAAAAAAAAAAGTAGACCACAAATTTTCACATCCCTTCTACAGTATTAATACATCTTCATCAGTATAATTTTATGTGATAGCAAGCACATTAATTGGTTTCAAAATCTCTGTTGTTATACATTTATACATGTGCATTTGCTAATTTGGATTTTTTTTTTACTTGCAGTCATAAATTTCTTTTAAATTGACATCCATGCTTTTGATCTTTCCAGGTACAAATGGTTGGAAACCATACTCTATGTGGTGTTAGGGGCCTGTCCCGCTGTATCTGTAGTAGCCATGGTAAGTGAAGATGGAAAAAAACTGTCATATAGTAGAAAAAAGCTGCCTTGCCTCACTTGGTTTGTCTGTAAAAGAATTTTAAAGGTTAATGAGAAGAAAGATTTGCCCCCTTAGCCTTTCCATTTCTTTACAATTTCTCCAAAGACAAGGGAAGGTTTCCCCTTTTTTACTTCTTTGTATTTATTCATATACTTATAGAACAGTTTTATAAAAAGCAGAGATCTTGAATTTGTACAATGAAACAAATGGTCATCCAGTGAAAATGGACATATATTATTCTACACAATAGGTACCAATTAACTCTGACTCCATTTTACCTTATGGGACAATTTACCTAATGCACCAATGTGTGAAAATTAAAGGCTGTTTAGTACCTTGTAAGACAAAAGGCTAATTAAACTGGTATGGCAATACCTTTTATTATTTAATGCACATTTTGTTTTACAGAAGAATGTATCTGGATTGACTGAGATGGCATTTGGCGGAATGGTCTACATCATTGGTGTGTTCTTCTTCAAGTGTGATGGCGTCCTTCCATTTGCCCACGCCATTTGGCACTGCTTCGTATTTGTAGGGGCAGCCTTCCATTACTATGCTGTCTGTAAATACCTGCTTGGTCCACACAATGTGGAAGCTTCCTGACCTCTTCCCCCCCACCCACCCCTTCAACACACAAACAGGTACATGTATCATACACATTGGATATGTTATTTAGATTTACAAATAGATTAAATAAATAGTAATTATATATCTTTGGTATTACCATTTTTAAAAAAACTACAATTGACTTTAGTGCATTATACAAATAATAGGGGTTTATCTTTGATATTATGAATTTATTAGCTATTTGATATTATGAGAATTTTTGAGGGAATTTACCCAAAACTGATATTTTTGAGAGTACCAGAACAAGAAATGATAATTGTGGACAAAGGAGATTTGTAGAATTTGTAGACAGAAGCACTTATTTTTTAGGATCCCTTTCTATTACTGGTATATATAGCATTACAAGAAAGTAGGCATTGCCTAGTTGAGCAAGTGTGTTGAAATTTTAGATCTTATGATAAGAATGCATAAACAATATCAAGAAAATGTGTTTCTGATAATTGTAGTGTTCATGTTTCACAAATATCGACTTAATACTGTACTTAGATATTGTCATGTATAGAGATCTCAGCTTATCCAATTTTGAAGTCATGTAAATATGACACATTTGGTGACCTAGATTAAACATGACCAATGTAAAGAGATACTAGAGTTTTCTGAGAAGGTGGTGTGGGCATGATGCATAATTATTGGATTTTTCTTTTCAAATAACTTTGATATAAAAAAAATCAGTATTTTGCATATGTGTAATATTGTGTGGTACTTTAATTCACTTTTCCAGGCGATTTACTTTGGTGTCAAGTAGTAAGCACTCCCACAAGATACTTATGATAGAGTGCGCATGATAATGAATGAAAATCATCTGAGATCATTTGGCACTGCATGTTCTCATACGAGACTAGTTATTATGTGAAAAATCCACGTGAGGTAGGGTTAATTTTTTTTGCAATAAGGGTGAAATATAATGTGCCAAGAATGTCTTCTTTGAAAGCAATACTGAAATGATGTTATATATAAAACATTGTGAATACTTACTGTTTTGCAAAAGAGTGTTATGCCACAGAACTTCAGAGAAAACGACCAGAAAATTTTTGTGGATAAATTTTGCCAACTTTTATTAGTTGCTGCACTGCACACAATATTCTGTCATCATATTTAACCCCCACTCTCCTCCAAATTTTGCAAAATCTCTCTTGGTTTTAGAATAATGTGTGGACTTTGGGATATCTCAGATGATTTGCATTCTACCGATGGGAAGGCCAAACAAAAGCAAATTCCTTCTGTTACAATTTCAGTGGGTGGGACAACAGAAGGATTAGATTGGCTTTCTATGACTAGAGCTTGTAATCACAAATTCTGCTTATGCACTATTTGCTATGTTAACTGGAAGTGAACCTTTACTGTTACAGCATTAAGTTAAATCATGTTCCTTGTTAGCATATCCAGTTGAAGGAAATTTTTTGCTCCATATGCTTTTCTCACCATTTGAGGGAAGAACAAAGTCTAAGTCATGCATACCATTATGCTTGTGTTTTCCAGTCCTTTTGGACAGCAACAAAATAAGGTTGCCAAAAGTTTGTATCTTAAAATGCTTTAATGTAGAAATATTGCTTGTCATGTTTTTGTACAATTTCCCTTGAAAAATGAAGATCTTTATGGAGTTGATAATGTTGCCCATTACCATTAATTGCTTAATATTCTCTCAATTCAAAGGGCACTTCTGTGCCCATTAATGCTATTTTTTGTGGTACTGGCTATAAGCTATTTTACACTACTTCATAAAATAACAAAAATCCTGTTATCACCCACTAACTATATGCTTAGTGTTGCAGCTTTTGTGGCACAAACTTAAGTCAGTTTACACAATTCATAGGAAAAAAGACAATTATTAATACCTATATTGTATTGTTTTATTTTATGATTATTATAAACTAATAACAGTATTTTATTTAAGCAGTTATTCTTTTGTCTGTGACCATGCTGGCCAATGGGCACTAGATTTGTTACAGGAATATACATCTTGTTGCTTTGTTATGTTTTTTGTAATGCTGTGATTACTTTAATTTACTTTTAGTTCTGGTGTCTTAGAGAAATTTTTTTTTATTTTTACTGTGGCATCTGTATTGATGATTTTTAATATTTCTGACTTTTTGCACATTTATTACATTTTCAAACACTTCTCAGAAAATCAAGGGTGTTAAATTGTTTTGCTTATGTACATGTAATTGATGTATGCCTTGGATTTTATATTACTTTTGAAATATAGACCATGGTATATGTAGTCTAACCTCAAATTTTACTTTCATATATGTGTTATTAGTATTTATATGATAGCATAACCAAATCAAGCTCTTTATCATTTAAATACTTTGATCTCTTTGAAGAAAAATTGTTTACAGAAAGCATTAGACAATTTCATCACAAGTGATATCACATTAAAATCATATATAGCTAAATTTACAACATTGAGTTTCAGGGTAAAGTTTACCGTCTGGACCATTATATGGCCTTCTTGTCTGGGCAATTTGTATTGGAAGGTGAATCTCTTAGGTGGAAAAAATAATAGGTTAAGTGTTTTCTATACGTGTCTGTTGCCTTTATAAACAAACTTATGCCAAAATATTCTGATTACAACAACAAAACTATTTTCATTCTTTGAAAGATTAAAGATGTGGTGTGCCTTGAGTTTTGATAATACAACTTGATGAGGTCACATACTTAAACACCTAATTTTTTGTACAATCAAAGGAAAGGATTTAGAATTTTAATAATAAAACAATTTATTTTTTAATGTTACAAAATGTTGAACCTTTGTAGTAATTTTTTATAGAAAATAAAAATAAATTTGACCCATTTGACAGTAAAAGAGAATGATGAGTACATTTCATAATTTATCTTTGTCAAAAGAAAAAATAATGTGGGGAGTCTTTTTTTAGTCATATATCTCAGTAAAGAGTAATGTCTCTAAGGTCTCAAAAAAGTATGTGATAATTATTTTGCTAGTCATATTTATATTTTACTGACAAATAAGATATGGATAGACTGATAAAGGTTAACCTGCTGGTAAAATATGACTTGCAAAATGTTTGCAGGTCTGATATTTAGATTACAATTTGCCATTAAAACGGAAAGTAGATGGTTTCACACTGCATTATTATTGTAATTTTGATAAGTATCAGCTACAAGGTTTAATTGTATTGTATTGCTTATTAAATATTGATATACATCAATTTAAATGCTCATTTAATATGTTCTCTGGGTATAATTTACTTCTGGATGCTGGTTATATTATGTTGTTGTGTAATGTATGCAGGGTTACAAGCACAGGTGTTAATAACAGTATTTATGTTACCTATGTGACAAGCCATTTACCCCCTGAAACATTTTGGTTATCATTCAAAGATCAATATTTTGAATTAACAACCTGAATTTCTGTTTAAGCCTCTGTGCCAAAGACAGCCGATATTAAAAAGTTCCAATTTCACTGAGAGTTTTGCATTAGAATGATACCAGACTAATACCAATTACCATTGTACAATCATATAATTAGTATTTTTGTATCAGACTGCATGTCTTATTAATCTAACTACAGACCAGTTATTTTTAACTCAGATGTTGCAGATAATTATCAGAGGCTAGGTTAATACCTGGATGAAAACCAGAGCCTAGCATATTTTGCTTCTGATTTTTATAACATTTCAAATAAGATGGAATATAAAGCTACAGTGCTGTTTTTATCTCACAACTGTTTTGATTATGGAACTCTTTGTTGGACTAACTGTCTTTTATTAGAGATATTTTTTGTTGGTAATTGTCAAATGAACTTGTTTAACATTATTAGGGCTACGTAGATAGAACTGGATGTAGATCATTAATGCTATGAATATAATCAAAATGTTTTCAGACATGACCACTTTGGACTGAAAAACATGTTAATTCATGCCATTAGATAAATAGATTACAAATAGATACTCTATAGTAGAGGACAGATGAGCGAAAAGTTAGAAAACACAAAAAATATAAAGAATAAGTCAGAGATTAATCTGTGAACATCTAGTGAAAATCAATCTGTGGTCCTGGTAAGGGAAACAAAGAGACCACTCTCATTATTCTTCAATTAACATAAAGGTCTCTTTCTCATCCAAAGACTTGATATTAACCAATTTCCAGTTGACTATAGACTTGATATTGACCCATTTCCGGTCTGATGTAGTCCTCTTTGAATGGGACTTAAGATGGGGGCAAATGGCTGACTAGAAATTTATATCATCTTTAAACAGACCAGATGTATGTGACAGTTACTCATAATTAGTTTTTATTTGTGATTTTATGGCTAATTGTCAGTTATAGTGATAATTGTTCATCAGAGACAATTTGTGACTTGTAGAGAATTTGTATAGATCTATTTTACTTTGAAGTAAAAAAATATAATTTTGTTTCAAAGCTCTTTATCATGGTTTTATTTTTGCAAACCCTGATAGTACAAAACATTGCAAAAACAATAATAAAAATTTATAAAATCAGCAACAAACAACAGATATTTAGAGATGTAGATGTAAAAAAAAAAAAAAAAAAAAAAAAAAAAAACAGTGCCAGTCCCTTCTGCCCTGGCTTGACTTTGGCTAGGTATGGATGAGAAATTATTGTGCCAGATGAGATTCAGTTCATAAAGTTTGCTCACCTACAGCAATTTCACAGCTCTCTAACTAACAAAGCAATGCATTGATTGTTTGTGATAAAAAAGTATTTAAACTTGAGATTGTTGAAATTAACATGCTAATATTTATCAATATTGTTTGGACGGTATGTTTTTAACAGTTCATTCACAGAATGCTGCATTTTCCTTCTTCCATGGTGTGCAACTCTTGTATCCTAACAAAGAGAAGACGTTACTTTCATTGCATTTTTTGCATTCCCCTTTGCTACAAGCAGTTTCAGATTGTCTCCAGAGCCTCGAATCAATGACATGGCACTGAAAAAGTCAATGGGGCATTCAGGTTACAATTGTGCGGCCTTAAAATAATGCACTAAAGTGTTTTCAACAGACAAAGCGGTCACTATTAAATTTTAAAAACGCGGGTGAAGCAGAATGATATGTTTTGCATAGAGATTGCTTTGGAAGAAATACTGTGAAAACGAACACTTCTTTGTTGTAAAACTGATGTACTCTGGTTAGTGACTAATCTTTTCAGCGAGTGTTTGGCAAAAAAAGTACATAATTAACCATTTATTCCTTTATTTGATTATCCCCCTCTATTTATTTATCTATTTATCTAATTTAACTGAGACAAAGCCATATACCTTTGATAGTCTGCACCTACAATCCCCTTCCCATTCACGGCTAGAATGCGATCTCCGACGTTGAGCCGCCCATCTTCTACTGCGGGGCCCCCTGCCACTAATGTCCTCACGTAAATACCAGCACTTCGCAGCGGAGTGTACTGCAAGATAAAAATGAGAATAATAGAAGCTGACAGAGAGGGGTAATAAAATTGAGAACGAGATTTCAAGTTTAGTAAAAGCGACGTGGTCTTTAATCATTTTATCTCTTGAAAAAAAAAAACTTTTTACGACCACTCGAAAAAATCTAACACGTTTCATTCCCACTATTAGGTACAATACCCCACATTCATAAATATTTTTTGCCAAATGAGAGACCAAAGGTCTATTTTGGTACTTTTTTTAAAATCTCAGTTATATATTTAATTGCATTTTTTCATCTATTTTTTGCCAAGATGGAAATGGTCTGAGGATGCACATTTTTGCTCCTCCCACTTCTTTCTATTCTGGATCCACCAAGATCCCTCGTATCATAATCTATTGCCAGATAATAGACACCATCACTTACTAGTCCGTCAATGAGCCCCAGGCCCAGCCCTTTGTCTCCTTTCTTCAGCTCTACTTCTACTGTGTCGTCAGGAGTGACGTTGAGCAAATTATCTGTCATGGTTTGTCGATGGAGTAAGAGATCCATTTCGGATTCTTTTACGCCTTAAATAAAACATAGTTATGTAACTAATACCAAATATTTTATAATGTATCATTTCATTTACCAAACTTTCGGATGTGATTTCCAATAGACATTATTTTGATATTATATCTGTCTAATAATGTATATCTTTCGATTTCTATGTTCTTTATTAGCAACTTCTGGTGACAAGTATTACTAAGAAACGTTTCCATCCTTGCACGAATTAAAACACAATAATAGGAATGTACATTTAAATATACTACACTCATTTCTTTACGATGGGAACTTATTGCACATCAGCAACAACTGCACTTATTTATCCAGAAACAAGCACAATGCAAGAAAGCCAAATAAACATTGAAACAAAAACAGGCGTTGGAAATCCAAGAACTATTGCCTGACTAAAAAGCGTATTAATCTATAATGAATCATGAACCAATATATGTAATAGCGAAAAAATGAATAAAACCTGTTAACATTGAATATAAGTACACTTTATACTAATTAAAAGAAAATTATAATTGTTAGTTGGCATGCGCTTAAAAAATTCTTCACGCCTAATACTGCCGACAAACAAGTTACCTGTGTCGTCATATTCCTCTTCCAGGATTTCTAGGACATAATAGTTATTAGTAGATAAAGTGTTTTCAGGGGAAGTGCGATCGTCAGTTGTTAGTGGCAACACTCGCAAGCCGCTGTTGTGCGTTTTGGTTAAAGCGTCTACTACTGATACCTCCATCACATTTTCTAAGTCATCCCTACCCGGGTTAGGGTTAATAGCACCACCCTCAGCGGCATCCACACCACCATGTACCTTGTTAATGGGTGCACTACTACCGAGGACCGTCCTCAAGACTGCATTGTCTGGGGGCGGAGGTCTGGGGGGTGGGGTCGTTTCCTCCCGAGTGGTTCTGGTCGAATCTACGTCTGCGAATGTTTTTTGAGAGAGCGCGTCCGGGGTTGACGGAGGTGTTGGAGGTAGGGGTTTATTTTTGGATTTATCGCGAGCTTTGTCAGAGCTGTTGTCGGAAGAGTGCGTGTCAGAGCCTATTTGTGTTGGCAAGGGGTTGGACATAGTGCGGAATGAGTATTTCTGCTTGACTCTCCGTGTGACGAGGTTTGGGGCCTGGGTAGAATCTGGGATTTCGTCGGCAGCAGGCGTCCCTGTCCGGCGCGCAACATGTTTAGCAAGGGCTTGGCCAGGTAATTTGGCGGTAAACCCGTAACTCAAGTCTTCCACTGGCTTCACATTTTGATGCGTTGGTCGCAGTGGCCACGATTCTGACAAAACGTCTCTTCTTTGGATTTTTTCAATGGATCGCCTTCTAAACCCTCCCGCCGCGGCGACAGGAAGAACATCGTGACACTTGCGTATGGCGGCATTCAAGTTGCCGTTTACCCCTCTCTGGTACAACTCCTGTCGCACGGACATGCGTCTTTCAACGCCAAATTTTTCCGAGGCATCCGTTTCCGAACTCTGACTGTCGCGTTTTCTGGTGGCGTCACACAAGGAGCTCTGTCGTCTAGGCCGGCTGGACAGCGACGCCAGTGAGGTATCGGTGACGCTTCGTGTTACTCGAGAATTTGGTGGGTGTCGCCAGGACCGGAGCGTGGGGGCGTCTCCGGCATCTACTTCACTACTGCTGGTGCTCCTCACCTCACAGATGGCGACACGGTCGCGGTACTTCATAGGAAGTTGATGGCGGGGGAAATCTGCAGCACCGAAGCTGCTACTTAGATCGCTCAGTTCACTGTCTACATGAGAGCTTGCACTGTTCTCTGGTATATTTTCATGGTTCAAGCCAATGACCCGTGCAATACCCTGTGCTGCGTGATCCGGTATTTCGTATTCTTCCAGCTCATCATCATCTCCATCCTCCACGTCATCCTCGTTGTCTAAAATACAAGACAGCATCAGCAACAAAGCCACCCGTTCACACCCTGACCGAGTACATACCACAAAGTTAAAAGCCCCCATATCATGGCCGAGTTCCTTCTGCGAATGCCTCTTTCATGTTTTGATGCTTGTATTTAATTCCCCAAGAAGCTTTAAAAAATTCACATCAAAAATAAAAATGCGTGAGCAGAAACCACCCTGAGCTTCAGAATACAATCGATAACATACTTTCACCAAACAAATTAAATCGGTATGGGTGTGTCGATAAAAGAGGCGATTTGTCAGAAGACGGAACCCAAGGGTGGCAGAAAATGGCCGGGGACATGATCTCATATATTTTGTAATTAATAGCACCTTTTCCCAAGAAATTAGTCGTGCACAGAGTATATATATTTCTTAAAAGCAAGTAAGCGTATATCTAAATGTATATCATAATCATGGAAAGCTGTATTTACAGGTAACACATATAATATATCATGCTATGCACATCATGCGGTTACAATACACAGGCCAATACCTTAAATAGGGTTTCATGCAATAGGCGTATTATAGGATATTGTTAATATATATGGTATTAAATATAATATTACGTCTTTATTAAACTGATTTACCACGAACTCAGGTGCAATAGTTGATATAAATGCTACTCACATTCTTCGCTGGACGGTTTGAATTCTTCTTGCAGGTTTTTCCAGACGTCAATGAAAGTCGGGTCTGGTACTTTGTGGAGGTCTATGGAGCAGTGCCCCTTAGGGAGCACCAGGGGCGGATGGTTGTTGAAACTCTCCATGATGGATTCTAATAAAGAAAGATTTGATATATTTTGGCACCTAATTATTTATTGTCTTTTTTTTTCATTGCCTTAACTTTTATAATGTTAGGGCAATCTGTCTGTACAAATTGTTCGCTTTGGCTACTTACAGAGCAATCATTCCATATGCATATTTGTTATTTACGTACCAATTAATCGAATTGCATTTAACTATTACAACCAACTTTTTTTGTTACTGCATTTCGAACTCGTAGTAATATATGCCACTGACTTAGGTTTAAACTAAACAAAAATTAGACACCAAAGTGTCACATCTCCATAGCGGATCGTACCCAGCTCGTTGGCCTGCTCTGACTCCTGCTCTGAGGGTGCCCAGTCGTCCGGCCGCCGTTTTCCACAGAGCTGGTAGTTGGTAAGAAGATGATGCAGCTGACCTGGGTTTAGGTTAGGGAAGTCCTTTCTCAGGGAGTACCAGTCCGACTAAAAGTATCTCGAATAAATCATTGCAATCCAACATCATGAACATGGGCGATTGAAAAAAAGAAGCTTGGCACTAGTGATTTGTTACATTATGCATTACATTACAAGGTTATTGTTAGAACAAGGAGTTTTTATCTGGCGGCGGTTGAGAAATCCCCAAAACTATAAATGTGGAATTTAAGTTTTAGGGAAATCACAAAAAGGAACATTAATGTCTTTTTAATATTTTAATTTGTGCGTGGTGTAAAATTTTGCGTCATCGAAAAGGCCTCAAACATATCAAATTTTACAATGAAATCAAAATCACTGAAATAATATGATAAAAAAATTGCTTTTGTAGTCGGGATCCATCAAAGAAACCCTTCGACTTGAAGTCGTAATTTATTTATCAACATTTTCGTTATCATTACTATCATTATTCAATGGAATGTTTATCAACCTTTCATTGACTTTTATGTAACAACAAGTTACAGATTTCAAAGTTTTTAAGTGACCACTAACCTGTAACAGCTGGACTTTCGGCATGGCCAGCAGGTTAGAAACCATATTGATTTTTTTCAGGTACGAGCTTCCTTCCTCGTAGAAGCCACTTTGGTTGCACCAGTTTTCAATGTGATCTAAATTTCCACGAAGCTGTGCACCTTGAATCCACTGAAAATATTGACCATCTTTTCCTAAAAGAGGAAACATTGGGGTTATCATTATAATCAGTGTTATCTTTTTATCATGACTCATGAAATTGATAGGTATTTATCAAAGGTTGTGCAGGTCATTTAATCTTGGGCATATTTACTACCAATAAAATATAGATTTTGATTAATTAATATAAAATGATTAAATACATTAAAATCAAAAGAGTGAAAATGTCATTTTGATTTTTCCCCTTCTCTTTTTCTGCACCAGCACTAACCTTTTTCCATGACCCAGTTAATGAGAGACGCATTTGAGAAGAAAAACAGATAACAAAACAGCTGTGACACCACGTGGGGGTGGACCAAATTGGCCTTCAACGCGTCTAGAGTGTTCTGAAATATGCTCAGGATGTCTTGTAGCGTTGGTGGACACTGTCCACTCGAATTCTCGTTTTTGCTGTCCTGGAAAGGATTGGTGTCCAAGATGGCGGGCAAAACGACATAAAGAGCCTGAAAAAGACGAGAAAAATGTCACAAGTACGGGTTAGACATATACTCTGAAGAAGGGGTTTCACTTTATAAAAGAAGCACATATTGCTTATAATCAGTTCACGTTTTTTACTATCATTTCCATGGCAAAAGCGTGAGCGTGGGCTTTCTGGGGACGGGGTTTCCTTTAGATGTAAATACCCTGATTCTCTACGCGTCAACAGGATTTGTAACTTTTTAGCTTTTTGAAAATCGTTTTTTTTTTAAGTCAAAACGATATGCAACGCTGCATGTAGAGAATATAAGCAAGGGTCAAAGTATCTAGTCACCCCCTCAACGGATCAATTGAGCCTCAACTTGGGTTCGGTATGTTGGTTCCAGTTGCGCCATACTATAAAGAAGTGTGTAAACTGCCCGATTTGTTGAATCATGAAAGTTTACTAAAGCTAAAAAAGCACAAGTGGAAGAGCGGTGTTTTTGAGGAACCGGTGCAATAATAACCAATTGCAAACTAGAACAACAAATTAGTTAATGGAAATAATTCGCTGTTTGCACGCAGAGCTGCAGACAATATTAAAGGGAGTGTGCGAACCAATAACCGATCAGTTTTTAATTCACCGCCATACAATTGGCGAATAATTCGTTAAAGCTAGGAAGGGACTTGCACAAACAGAGAAATGCTATAATCTATAAATTAATTGTCCGATGTGAATTCTAAAGTATAAAAGAATTCCAACAGAACACCAGTACACTTGAATGGCCTAAATGTGGGAATAGAAGCTAAACAGCAATTTTGAAGCTGTTCAATGGCTTTTGATTGTGATCAGGGGCTAATTAACGGGACGTGTAAATACCATTATGGTTAGAGTCAGGGTTAATCACAAATGACCAAAAAGAAATCGAAGCCAATAAGCTATTCTTTGAAGATAGCTAGAAGGAAATTGACTGACCACGTGTACGTTGGCACACTATTGGCGGTAGAAAGGTCATATATGTCATGATATGTGACATGGCTAGACTGGGCCACACATGAAACAGAATAGGAAAGGACGAGGAAAATAGGAGGGGGAGAGGGAGAGAGGGAGGGAGAGAAGGAGGGTGTAGAATGTGTGAAATAACATATCGTAGTAGCGTTTCAAACATACACACAAAAAAATTTTATGATACTTATTTTAATAATCTTAAAAGATAAAGTTAACTCCCCATAAAAAAGGGGGGGGGGTAACAAATGTGATACCTTAGTGAGATAGTAGACCGTCTGTTGAAATGTGTACATAACAACCTCCTCAAGCACAGCCAACATCTCCTCGTCTACTTTCTCCGGGGCCACACGAGTCCGCGCCTGCAACTTGTCGCACGGTTCCATCATCATGTTGGGAAGGTTCTTTTTGAAAAAGTTTAACATTTCCAGAGCGTTCGACATCCAGTAAACAATGCCCCTGAGATCACGAAAGAGATCTTTGTCTGTTGCACCCTCCTGAGTGGAAAGCCTGCAGATTTAGAACAAATCATAAAAAGTATTTTAAAAAGACCATTTCTTATGCATTCAATAAATATTAGTCTAAACATATTGCACTCAAAGAATAAAAATTAAAATGCAATTAATCCAAGGTCAGTGTTATGAGAGACGTAAAATAAGCAATAAACAATGCCTAGGTATTTATTATCACCGTGATGCTCTCTGAATATGACGACCCGCTGCAGATAAAAATAAATTCAAAGATACACAGGGGCACTTTCTTCAAAACAAGGCTATCACAGGTTAAAGGGCAAAGTTTTGAACATCGAAAGAATATTGATATGTTAGGAATTGCTTTCTTTGTATTTTGATCACTAATCGTGTCAGTAATATTTTTAAAAAACTTATCTAAAAACACTCAATTACTTACAGTTCACCATGACGATCCGCCAACAACTTTGTTTTGTTTCTTTGTATTTTGATCACTGATCGTGTCAATAATATTTTTAAAAAACTCATCGAAAAACACTCAAATACTTACAGTTCACCATGACGATCCGCCAACAACTTTGTTTTATTCTGAAATAATTGAAATAATTTTGGGCTACAGAAGGCAGAATTATCAGAACACGTACTGCATTAGCTGCACTTGAACCAGTATAGTCTCTTTGGAACCTCAATGCAAATTCCACTTTGTCACTCAGGGTATCACATACGATATATAAATACGTGTAGAGATATTTAGTTTAAATTTGACACTTGTTGAAATATGAATACAATGACGTCAATGCTGCTCGATACACATGATATATCACAATTGTGCATTAGGGAAAATGCACGTGACAGTACAGTTTTCATATTTAACCTAGGTTGACCCGATTTCAAGCGGTCTATGTCCACATCTCAGTATTTTCATTTGCCGTTAGCACGACCAACCGTAACCCTCCCGTTCCCTACATGAAATGCTTTGGTTGCACCATTTTGGTCATTCTGACCTGTACGGATATTTTCTACATCAATAAGTACCTATGTTTATAGCATCGATTTCTACATCACTTTGACCGCTACTTACGTCACTGAGACCAATTCCCGCACCAGTGAGATTAAAACGTACCTCACTTATTTTTATTCGAATGGTCTTTAGCTAAGAATGTCCACCCGCACCAATAAACCGTGCAACAGTCATCTTTATGTAAATGATCAAAGTCGAATAGTGCACTGCCTTCGAGAGACATTCAAGTGCAATAGAAAACTTACCCAAGCCTCCTGCTGTACAAGACCTGCTATCTTCTGCACTAAACTCCTGACGATATACTTGTCAAACTTCATTGCATAGTAATCCACAGCCATGACAAACAAGTAAGCAGGGCACAGAGGAAAAATATCGTCCGTCGTATTACACAAATGAAGAATCCTTTGCAGAAGCTCGTCTTCTTTTTTCTGTTTGAACGGTAATTTCAGTTTCGTTGTATCTCGTTTATATTCTGTCTCCCGTTGTGTCTGCTTCGGGTCCTTTCTCGGGTCTCTTCTTTTTCTGGTCTTGCTCCTAGATTTTCTTTCCGATTTCATGTCGGTACGTACGTCGGAGCTAGTGTCGGATTCGCTGTCTGCAGGCGCACTGTGTGGCGCATTACCAGCAGCAGGTGCGTGATCCGGTTTGGTCGTCAACCACGGCACATTCCGGGGGATCTCCTCACCTGTGGTTGGGTCTTTGAATAGGAAGACATAGTGCTCCCCAATGGACAGCAAATCACCCTGCTTGATATTTGTCAGAGATGACACTGGACAGTTGTTTATAGCCACGAAAGCGTCCGCCAGTGGATCAACGGACACTATGTCACTCTCCGACGGCGTTGGATTTCTTATCATCCAGCAGTGCTGTAAACTAACATCTGGTGCGTGCAGAGATATGTCAGTTTTCCTAGCATCGTCCGTTCCACGGCCTATCATAACTACCTGCTCCGCGAGAGGATAAACTAGGGAATCCTGGAGCATATTATACCCCCGTAAGGTAATGAGAAATGGATAAGCCGTTGGGGGATGACTGTCCAACCAGCTAAACTCAAGAGGTTTTGTGCTGTCATTATAGTCATCGGTAGGGGTATGGTTGTGTTCATTATTGGCATCACAGTTCAAATCTTGCGACTCGAGAAGCGAGGTGCTCACGCTCCTAGAATATTTCCGGATATCTTCTACGGGAATTGCCTCGGGACAGGTTCGGGCAATTTCCATTTTCCTTGCATTTGCATTGAGTGCACTGGTTATGTTATCCACTTCGCCAGGAAGTGAAACCTCTTCACGAAGACGGATCTCAAATCGGCGGGAATATCCCTCGGTAGGTTTCCATAACGACTGTAAAATAAGAGGTCTTTCGCTGTCTCCGATAACACGAAAACATTCTGTAGTCCACACGTTTTCCACCTTATTTTCTGAGTCAATTATAGAGACGTCGCTCAGTTTGCCAACCACGTCACATAAAACGTAGCGTGAGGATTCTGATTGCGGAAGTGCATAGCGCTCCAGAGCCTCTTTTACAAGCTCCTGAGCCGTGGACTTTGTGGAAGCCAACACACTTTTATAGTTGGCTCCAGGGCAAATGGAATCACCAAATATTTTTAAAACTCCAGGCGAGCATTCTTCGACAGAGAGCTCTGTTTGAGTCTTTATATCTTCCCGTTTTCTCAAACTAAAAGTCCGTTGTAGGAGGTCCTTTGCGGCCCTGTAGCTACGACGCATCCGCTCTCGGGAAGGGGAGCGACCTCTCTCGGTCCTCTCCCGCTCCATGCTTTGATCTCGCTTTACTCGTCCTCGACGCATTGATATTAGAAGAGCAGCAGGACCCTGTTGCGGTGGATGTCCATTTGATTTGGACTTCGGTGACGATTCGACGTCCAAATGGCCATTCTCGTCTTCCATGCTGCTTTTGGAGGATCGCCGTTTATGCCGCCTGCTTCCAATTTTGTTGCCCGAAATTTTCTCTTCAGCAATTTGCTCTATTTTTCCACCATTCTCAGTAATCATGGTTTTATCCCTGTATTTGGATTTAGATTTATTTGCAAGACCAGATGTTAAATCTGGAGAAGGACGCCTTCCGTATTCATGATCAGTGTTTTCGTTTACTTTGATGGCCTCATTGTCTGCCAGCGTCACCTCTCCCTGAGGCTCCTTCATGGCCTCGGGGGACGCCAGACGGAGAACAAATCTTGGCGTGGATTTAGCGTTCAGTGCTAGGTCCAGAGGAGTGTCCTCGTGTTCTAGTCGAATTTCGTCTAAAACAGAAAAGTTAAGAGTAAACAGACAACGAGCATAACTAGCGCGAGTAAAGTCTCAGGATAAGACAAAATTCAATTCTGCGTGGAAAGAGTTGTCATATATACGTACTTGACAATATCTTTCAATGTTTACAGAGTAGATGCTGAATATCTCATCAACAAACTTCGTTCGGAATGCTGAACATGGGCAATTTGTAGACCTACTTACACGCCTTTAACTAGACAAACGACAGCTAATAAATAATATGACTGTGTGTTGTAAAAAGAGAGAATAAAATCCAGCAATTAATTCCTAGTCATTAATGTACCATCCAACAGCCTCTCGTTACTGTAGGCAATACGTGTTCATTATACAAAATGCCATCTCGGGGATGCATGCAAGACTGGTGTAACATTAAGTTAAACAGTCTAAATGAGACACATCTGAGACACGTTCAGAACTGATGTTGTTTATATTATTTATATAGTTAAAAATTAAGTCACAAGACGTCACTATTACGTGACTACTTTAAAAAGAAATTTATTTATGTTTTGTCTAATTATCAATTCATCTCTGCATGATTGGTGACGCCAATCAGCTGTTTATTTCTGATGTAAGTTAGTCCATTTACGAACAAACATCACATATATTACGGTTCTGAATGCCCGAGGGGAAGATAAATCACTAAATCTATAGGTTGTCATCAACGCTATCGTGTACTTTGTATTCAGGGTATAGGTCTGCCCAACCCGTATATATCTAACATTACAGCAAAACATGCCCTGGATCATTAGGATTGAAAGAAAAACCCTGACACCTAAAGAAAGAGAAAAACGAACTTGGACAATTATCCAATTGGTATAAGGTTAAGTGGAAAGCTATTTGAAAATTTCAGTCTTATTTATGTATAAAATTGGGTAAGCTGAGCTGCGTAAACATCTAAAGTAAGGACAGGCAGGCACGCGTGTTAGTGCATGTGCATACAGAAAAATGGCAGCCTCACTAGCACCAAGCAATAACCCTTTTTCGTTTGAAATATATAAAAATATTAAATCGTAATGAAGTTAGAAATGCGTACTAATACAGCACTTACAAATTGCTATGTACTAGTCAATATAACTCTTTGCGTTCTCTTACAGCCATCCTAAAATAGTACTTATTATAGACTAATTTCTTACTGGATCGGCTCCAGAAATGCTCCATTGCTTCTTTTTATTAATGTCTCGAAAACTAGTACATCATACAAAAGCCCGATATTTATTTCTCACTTGATTTTATCGATCCTCCAGAAAAAAATCTTTAAAAACACACCATTCTGATAGAGGGGTCTTTTTTTTAAACAATAGCTAGGCGCCAACAAGTTGCACCTGTAACGAGGGCAAGTCACCTCGCCTTGGTGCACTTTTATATGCTGTAAAATATGCACTTTCTTAATGGTTTTGTAAGCGTACACCAGTTGAACGCTTTGCTTAAAGGGTTAACAACTGTTCGTATGATATTCATATATCACGATAAAAACATTGTAAAAAAATCATAGAAATATAATAAATTCCATTCAACCACCAGAACAGCAGTTATCGCAATTATTCTGAAACCTGTGCTTATCATCAGACCACGGCAACCTTAATACATGGCTATACCTTCGTAGTAATCTCTTAGAAATTATTAAAAAAACTTTTAAAAAGCCATGGACTATTACTTTGGTGTCGGAATGGATTCAATAACTATTGGTAAGTACGGGAAATTATCGCTTTCCCCAGGAAAATCCTTTTTTTTTTTTTGCCAATACGAACAGTTGTCATAACGTTGCACATGACAATCTATTTTTTGTGAGATAAAAATGTTTAAGAGAATTGTTTGGTTGCTTTGGTTACACTGTGTGTGGAAAAATGGAAATCTTGTGTCAGTTGTATCATTAAAGTAAATCAAATTCGTGTATATCTTTCTTTATTTACATTTGTTTGATTCAAAATTTGATTCAAATCAAGTGATGAATGAGGAGAAAACAACATTGCATGTGCAATTGCTTACACACTGTGGTAAAATCCCATACATACCACCAATTTATCACCTTTTAGAACAGAGACTCCCTGTGTCACTTTAAACCCCACCTTCATTCGAAAATCTCCGAAATACGTGAAGTAAGAAAAAGAACCGACCTCTCGTTGTACGTTGTTTGGATTTCCCTTTTTTGAAAGATTTTTTAAAATAATATTTTGCCTTTTAAATGCTACAATGGCAGAAACAAACGGCAACATTTGCTCTGTTTAACCAGAGGCGTGTGGTGTATTGGGTCGAGAATTTCACCTCCAAATGGACATCTTTGATTCACCTGTGTTTATGGGCATAACAGCCACCTCTTCATCATTAACCAAGACCTCTCTGTTTCCCTTTATGTACTGTAGTACAGGTATGGTGCCAAGGCCCTAGGGATATTAAGCATTTGTATCGTTTCCAATTCACCTTTATAGCTGTCGATATAAACTATTCTCGCCTTTGAATACTCTTTGATAGAGTAATCTTCCAGGTGTGTATATACAACTATAGCACTGGGGAAAAGACCTGAGCACTAGCATCGCAGAGTGTATAGAAGCCGCGATATCAAATATTGACACAACAATACCTATCATCAGCCGTCACCTGGGCAGACCCTCTGCGACAGATTGAAAAGAAAGGTGCACAACAATCCCACTAAGGTGGCAGTATAAGTTTATCTCTTTCAGATAATAAAATATACGGAGCTTCAAGTACTATATGCACATGTAGGCTACTTGCTAGAGATTCATATTTTATGCACGCACTTGCACGCACAATAAAATACAACTTGAGGGTCTAGAAATAATTCAGCCTAATATATTATGGAAGGGCCTCGGTGTTGTTATCGTTTAGACTTTCCTAACTTGCTTCAAAGATACACTGCCACATGTAATTTTACTGTACAATTACATAACTGTGCCTTACCTCCGTCAAGCACAACGTGCAAGTGGTGAGTGGAATCACTACAGTCACTGTGGTTGTTGATGTTGAACTTCTCTATTAGTTCAGGAAGCAAACTATCCACAGTAGTCTTATTTGTTAACTTAACAGCCTTGGTCAAGTTTTCTTGTCCTCTGGCATAGTAAAACCGTAGAACTCCCTCAAAGATGTGATCCAACTTATTATCTTGTGTCTAAAAGAATAAAAATATAGAAATTATTTCACCATGCGTGTAAGAGGGACAACGCCATTCTAGCATTCTGCCAGAAGTTCATTCGTCCACTTCAAGCGTGTAGAAATAAAATGTCGATTAATTTACAATGGCCTTGCTAATCACGGTCAATTAAAGCCAATAGCAACTGTGAGCGTTAATTAAGTAACCCATGAAGATAAACAGATAAAATAAATATTCAATTAAGGTGCGGTTGTGCGTTGAACGTATTGTTGGCAAAAACCAATAGTAATTTATGTCCACTGTATCAAGGTGAGTCAATGAAGTCCCACGTAGACACACTTTTCCCTGCACAGACTTCATGGTCACTTTTCCTCAGCGCAAGAAGTTGATAGCAGTTAAGACATGAACTCTTTTGTAAGTAATTATATCTGCAATTTTCTCATCATGAAAAAAGTGACAATAGGCGCATATAGCAAGACTGAAAATTATGAATAATCAGACCTACCCAACTACCAGAAGCGGTACCGAAGGATCCCGAATTCACCGATAGATCGGATCGCGCTACCGGTTTTCGAGACAGAAATAACATATATATACATTAGCAGTATATACCGAGCTCAATGTGTTATTAACATTGTCGTTGAAAAAGAGGTGGATCTGTTTGATTCGTTACCAACGGCCTAGGATCGCTGTAACTAAAGCAGTGATATATTTTTGCCATCATTAAAGGGGCTGTTCATGGCATTTTTGAGTGAAATAATACAGAGCGAATTATTCCTGCGCCATCGATAGTATTCCAGCACTCGTCGAACCTCGAGCCCTCGAGCTGCTAACTGATTTTTAACCCATGAAATACAAGTTTCTGTTCCCTATATTTCAGCCGACCCTTGCATTTCACTTAATTTAAATATACAGTCTCGAACAGGAGTATCAATACAAGTATTGCTGCGTATTAAGATGAACTTATTGAATTAAAGACAAAATGATTATATCATTTGTTCTTGTCTATCAACCTTTCCTACCCCTTTGGGTCCCGTTAAAAAGTTCAAGAAGGAAAAGAAATGGAAAATGTGAAGAGAAGAACGACAGGGAATTCAAAAGTCTGTATGCGCTCTGGCTGAATTTGAAAAGAAAAAAGATGCAATACCAGATTTCAAGTGCAAAAGTAAGAGGGAGGCTAAATGAATTGATAACACAGATTATGCTGGCTTCGGTGTCACTCGACAGGACCTGATGCTCGACATGAATTTGAACACAAGAGCTACCTCTCATTATAATTTCAAGTGCTCTGTTAGTAATTTGATCATTTCGATAGAATTGCACCCCATTATGAATGCTGGCATTCAAACACTGTCGATAGAATAACAAATAAAAGAGTTACTCCTTTACACGCAACATACATTTGTTAGACGCCCTTATTCGGTGTTGAATATAACTTATATAAGGAAAAAACTTTACAACCATTTTTCGAGTGTTTTATGTACTCTGACTTGCAAGTATCCAACAAGAAATTTGAATTTTTTAAAAAGAGGCTTTTAATGTCACATTGAATTTAAATATTCAAAATAATAAGAGAATGAATAGTTTAAAATTTAAAGGAAAACATAGCTGTAACAATGAGACATACCTCCTCTACAAGACGAATTTTAAAAGCTTCAAGGGCGACGCGTCGATTATAGTTATTGATCCTTTCCATTAGTTGCTCCCGGTCAGCCAAAACCTCTTCTGTCGTCCCTTCTTCACACACTTCTTCATTCTCCTCCTTGGCTTGCTCGTGAAGACTTTGTAGGTGCGCCAATACCTGAGAGTTGACAAGCATGTTCAAATTGGACCGTTTACTCTGAAACAGTCCCGGGGCTTCGTTCCCCTTCTGTAGTTCTTCTAACAGAGAAGGCGACATTTGTGACATTTTGGTACTTACTTGTGGCTACGGGTGCAAACTAGCCAAAATCTCGGTAACAATCGCATGTAGTGTATACCTTGCCATCAGAGGAACAAGCGAAGGGAGCCATGGCGCGCGTTTTCAACTTTAAGACAGCAGCTACCCCTGTACTGTATGCATGGTTACTTCCACTTGATCCAAGTTCATTGAATGACAAACAGCGTTGAAAAATGCAAAAATCTCAGGATAAGTGAGCGCCGTTTGCGCAGTAGTATTCCTCAATTACTGTCCGCTGCGAGTGTTTGTTATATTCCACCTAATGTGCCACAGTACCTTGTATCATCTCCAACATGGGCAAACTGCGGGACGTGAGGAGAATTGATTTAAGATAGCCGAGTATTGAATATCATATCACCAGCTCACACGGGGCATGCGTACACAGTCCAGCCGCCCAGTACAAGTTTATGTGCTGTAGTATCTCCATCCAAAATCATGGGTGTTTTTTTTTTCAGAACACCGTACATCAACTGGCGGTTTTGTTACCGAAGCCCTAGTAAGGAAATGCCACCTATTCCTGGTTTGTCACATACTGTTTACCGTACTAACCAAACAGGATTAACGTTTGCCTCGAAATATTTCAAAAGAAAGCCGCGCAGTGGGAAAAGACTTGATCGGTTTTGTTATAATGTACAAACCAGTATATGTGTGTGTGTTTCCCGAAAAATGCAAATACGATTTGACACAAAAATGACACCTTCAATGACTTCTAACTCAAAATTCATAATTAAAACGCTGTTTGCAATTCCCTACTATAGTAGTACATGCAGTTAATAGAAGCTGGTCGGTTACATCGACGTGCGTTTTCTATTTGACCAGCGCTAGTCAAACATCTGAACACCATTCATTATTTATCATTTTGGTTTAGGGAAATAAAAAGAAATCGAAGTGGTAACTCGTAATACCTATGGGTCAAGTGCTATTACATAAATTATTTCAGGGGTTTTACTTCAAGGTTAATAGTGAACAGCGCCAAATCCCCGTTTTATTCGCGCCTCTCGATAAAAATAACTAGGACTTCATTTCCATTGAGAAAAGAGAGAAAGAGAGAGAAAAAGATTTATTAAGATGGAATAATAGTTCTTACCAGAGCAGAAGTTGGTTGCTACTGGCCAAAGTTGATCTGACGGAATATTTGATCGACCCAGCCCATTCATCCACGACCAATTCGATTTTTGATGTATTAGAAAGGAATGTTGATTGTAAAATTGAGTTCAAGGACATTTTGACTTAAAATTTTAATTTGTTTGATATCATCAAGGCAATGACAAAATATGTGCTTGTTTAAAATAGGCCTTGGCAGTACAAAATTTAGAATAGCAAATCGTGAAATAATTTGTTTTTTTTTAGCAAAAAAAAAAAAAAAAAAAAAAAAAACGCCTAATTTTTTTATTGTAAATACGTTTTATAAACAGGTCAAATTTAAAAGCTATAAAGCCGTATTATGAATGACAAGGTCGAAAGCAAACATGGTAAATAATTTTAGGTATTCAGTTTTAGCCAAAAAACACACCCAATTTTTTATTATAAATAAGTTTTATAAACAAGTCAAATTTAAAAGCTATAAAGCCGTATTATGAATGGCAAGGTCGAATGCAAACACGGTAAATAATTTTAGGTATTCAGTTTACTACAAAATGCTAGACAATACGTTTTTAAAAGGAGTCTGTTACAACATATAAAATGAACGTCCCCGTGAAGATCGATGTCGTTTTAATGAGGTGCACCGCCAATGGCACTAATGCTAACAAGAACCCGCTACTTTATATGGCTCAGAAACTAACTTTAGATACACGGAGAGCGTAAAATTGGGTAAAGCACACTGTATATACGTGAAAGCAATATTTTGGCTGTAAGCTAAATAGAAAAATCAAGCAAATTTGCTGACAATTTTCAAAGTTACTTACCGGTGTTGTAATATTCTTCTGTTACTGTGCTACACCAGTTGAAAAGTGACAGGCCACTTCGGTTATGTTTGTCTACAGCTTTAAAGGTCCTTGTGAAACCACGGAGGGCGATCTGTGGCGATGGTTAGCGGGAAAGTCACAAGCTATCCTTACTGCACAAACAATACCAATCGAAGAGCAAACTTCAATAGAACTATCGGAATTCTTTGGCTTTTGTTTTTATTTTCGCTCTTCAGCTTACGCTAGGATGTGTCCGCGGTTATAGCTGTACAAATATTGCACGTTTATTGAGGTTTCACCGTATTTACTGAACAAACCCAGGGGTTAAAGGGGAAAGGCTTTAACAGCTTATAAGAAGCCAGTATAGATTTACGATTAGCTATAGATTCAGCAGCAAAAAGCTGCTAAGTTTTCAGACATTAGAATGGGCATCGATTGGACCTTTGCCCCAGGACATTCTAGAAAATATTCATAAACATAACAGAATAGCTCTGGAAATTCAATATAGCCCGATCGTCTGCACGTTTTTCTCAAGATCTTTGGACTACACCGGGTGACGGTAGAAGAGATGCCAAAGACAAGAAAATAGAAACGTATTATAATTGACAGTGTGACAAAAATGCACGTTCAGTTTTCGACGTAAGGCATCAGTCTGATTTGCATTTTCAATAGCCCTACTCCCTGAATACAACGTGAAAATAAACGTGGATAATAAACCTTGCTGTTATCATATTAGTTAATTGGTTCTGTCTTCACTGGTGTGAAATTGACTGCGACCAAGCTTTGTGATTGTGTTTGTCTCAACTAGCACATTCAAATCGAAAATCTGCTTCGTGGAAACCATATGGAGATATGCAACTGTTGTAACAAACAAAAAATTTAAGCAACAATTAACTTATCCTCTTTTGACTTGAGAGTCAATTTTTATAGGCTTGAATACCAATATCCACATCTTAAGAATTAATCATATAAATTATTTGCAAACCACTGCCATAACACACTACATGTACCACCTGTATTTCAAATAGAAATATAAAGGCAAAGGTAACACTGGACATTCAAAATGGCCAAAATTTATTTCATACACTTCCTGGGACAGAAAATACAACAAAAATGCATATAAATGCGGTTACAAAAGTAACATCACAAAAAATTTCCTATCATAATCAAGAAATACCAACAAATTCCTGAAACTCTACATGTACTTTCTCATTTCATGAAACCAGTGCATAGCATCTGGTTGTGAATACTATGCACAAATCGACTACTAACTCTACTATTATGCACAAGCTGAAGGAGTTCCACATTTTATGAAGAAAGAAAACATGGATCTTTTTAGCATAATTCACAATTATAGACACGTATCTCAAAAGTAAGAAATAAAATGGATAATTTTCATTTTCTGTGCACTTTGATCTCATCAGGGGTAATTGAGAGATGCAGGGTATAGATCTCTGCCACTGTTAATACCTATTAATGCAGAGATGTCACTTGTTTGGCACTCTCTGCCGTGGTAATGGGGAGACCAACACTTGCAACAGTGATGTCAAAACCCGGCTGATAATACCTGCATCCCTTGTGAACCCCTATATTATCAACATGCACAAAAATGACTGAAAATGACCAGAAAGTGACATTACCCTTTCATACCCTTGCATACCTAGGGGTGAAAAAGTTGTCCTTTTAACAGCACCACACAATGCAAATGTTACATTTTATTTTATACAACAGAAGTACTAGTACCTCTACTTGTTTTGAAAGTGCCTACCTTAGCACATATATGTCAGTGTTAACAAAAGAGCAGTACAACCATTGAGATTGTTAAGAGATCACATATGTAAATTTTATTGGCTCTAATATTCTCCTTGTCTTTGTGAATAAACTTAACTTGCATCAGAGACTGCATCCTTTCTTAACAAATGATGTAACGGCTCACACATGGCACATTTACTCAAAGTGAAAAATTTGCAGTATATATTAGATAAAGTCAGACACTATTAGAAAATCGGTGAAGCCATCCAGAAATTTTTTTGCATCAACATCCCCATAAATAAAATGTTTTAAGATCCTGCTGCTTTTAAGATCCATTGCACAATACTACTGCTATTGCCCTGGGGATAAAAGTGGTAAGGTTTAAAAAAAAATCAAAACCTAGGTACAACTGTAGGGGAAAAAACTGTGCTTTAAAGCTGTCCTCAAATAGACAATTTTGTAAACAAGTAGATATGTCTCATCTCTGAACTCCTAACCAAACTTCACCTCAATGTTGGATCATCAATAGCTCGCTGTGGATTACATGTGAAAGAGACAGTGATGGCGTATCTTGTACCACTGGTCAATTTTTCCACATAATGAAGATTTTCAGAACCAGATGTGAAGAAAGAGAGACGGCCTGGAATAATAATTTCAGTAATTAAAAAAAAGTCAGTGTATTGCACGTTGTTTACAAGTCTGCAAATTGTGTACACTTCAACTCTTAATTCACCTTTTCGCAGATAATGACATGCATGCATGGTCACACATGACCAGCCGAAATGAGCTAACCTCACATGAGCATCACCAGGAAAAGGCACGAAACCATGACCAGCGGGGAATGGTTTAAAGGTGCATGTGCATCATTATCTGTGAAAAAGTGCATAGAATCTGACTTAAGGCATCATTGTTATGATATAATTCATTCATATGACTTCTTTTTCATGCAACATTTACATGTTTTAAGAACGTACCACGCTTTGGATCCACTGTCTTGTTAATATCCTTGTCTACAAACACAAATCTCCCTCCTTTGAAGTCTGTGCCATACTCTGAGAGGTAGAGTAAAGAGGTGTAATGAAAAGATCCATACGTCTCCTGAAATGACAAATTTAACCTTTAAATTAGAGAATGTTCTAAAACATAATTTTACTTGGAGGTTCATAATAAGTAGAATACCAATATGTATTTGTACTTTGGCAGCACAGTTACTATAAATTTCTTAATAAATGCATTTTTTTCCCTTTGGGAATTGATAGAGAACAAGTGGTCCAGTCATTGCAGAACTCATTGACATTAAGTGTTGAAATAAATTACAACCCATTAAAAACTGAAAATAGCCTGCTTTTCTTCAGCATGTAATGTTTAGTGCACAAACAGACCATGAATGTAGTACACAATAATTTTAATTTGTACCTTATCAACATGTGGATGCCAATACTCATCATGAACAGTCTGGGCTGGTTTTGTTGTCATTTGGGAAAAAAATGTTGGATTTGTGAGGAACAGTTTTTCTCTAGGGATGCCAAACTCGGCTGTTATAGTGTGTTGGATACGATCCTTCACTCGCCTGAAAGAAGGATAAATTTGTGTTATGGTAATTGCTCTCAAATTTCAAACAAATTATTTTTTTTTAGTTTTTTGCAAAACCTTGCTTTCTGGCGATAAGTTGACTAACCTCTTTATTTAAAGTTAAAACTTTCGATTTGTCTATTACAAACAAAACATTATTTCATTTATTACTATAATTTTCACATTTAATTTATTTAGCTATATATAAATTCTATTTTTATTCAAAGTACAAAAGATTAACCTTCTGTATAGATATAACTACTATCACAACACAAAGTTCACATATTGTAAAAAAAGAAATGAATGTGGTCAAACTTACGTATACAATTTGAAATCATCCTCAGTAAATATGTTGATGCTTTTGGTTTTCTGTAAACTAAGAAAAATTACACAACATATTTCAGCCAATATCTCAAATGTGAAATATGCTTTAATTCAACACAATGGATATCTTTTAATTAGCAATCTACTTTCATACAGAGGTCAGGGTTGTTGCAGGTATTATTATCTATACTTTTTACATAGTCTAAACTAAATTGATTATATCTGAACATATCTGATGGGTTATAGTATTATGGTAAATACAATATCTGTTTATAACTCACAACTTCAAAGCAGCTAAAGATACTTTAAAAAAAGCATCCACTCTTTGATTATTGCAAAAATACCTGAAAATATCCACAAATTTGTCTCCTTTTGAAAGAGCACCTGAATGAAGATCAAGAATGGAAGCCTGAAAAAAAAATAGACACAACATAGACCACTTTACAATGGGCAACTTCACAGTATTTTCACCCCTTGGTGAATTTTGCATTCACCTTTAAAAGTTTCTACCACTCTCATTTTTATTTACTTCATTTGAAATAGTGAGGCACACCTGCTGAGTTATAAGAAGTAAAGAAAAAAAATTCAAGGAGAAAAGATGTCATCTAAGTAAGACGCACTACATGCAATGATCCAATACAAACACATCTGGCAATTTCAATAGTATAACAATGCTGTATTCCTGTTATGTACCAGTAATATTTTACCAGTATTCCAAATACACTTGTACCAACTTACACCATGTACTTTTCTAGCTGAGCAAGTGAAATCCAAACCTTACTAGCCTAGCCTTATGACACTTCATCAAAGCAAATCATGCCTCTGAACTTGTCAACATGTGATGACCACAAGTAGTCTAGAGAACTACTAGAACTTGAGTCAAATTAAGCATGAACTAAGAATTTTTTGTGTCTCAACCATGTGCAGTGTTTTTTTTTTTTTTTTTTTTAAGTAAAATCAATACAGCACTGTTTCCATTGGAAAAATGTTGCATCAAAGAATTTGCAACATTCAAATTTTTCAAAAGTTTTGTTTTTCGATTTCGAGCTGTTTCTGTTATTATAGATATCTGCTGACCCAGGTGACTCATGAAAAGATGATTAGGTATGATTTCTAATAAAGCATATGTCCCACAGCAAGTGAAGACACAATATAATTTATGTGGAACTTACTCCGCCATTGGAACCTCCTAGTGAAAGACCTTTCTTGGCAACACTGCAAATAAAGACAAGGGATTAAAGCAGGTGCAACACACTAAGTCTAACAGAATGACTTGAATGGTGGATATTCTTAAGAAAATGATTAAACTAATTGGTTGATTATGAAGGTGCTGTGCATATGACATTTCCTACCAAAATATTTTCGTTGCCAATATAGACAAGTCTCAGAAAAGCATTCTACTGATAACTACCAAATAAAAAAATTCATGCAAAATTATTTTCAAACAGGACAACAAAAATTGTTTGAAATTATTTGTTCAAAACAAAAAAATTGAGAAATATGATGACTTATAAGAAATATTTTTGATGACATTTTTTGTTTTTGCAACCCTGTTACAGTTATTACTTAACTCACTTGAATTACTCTTGAAAATATGTTAAATCTTTGTTGAAAAAACTGCTGCTTTTCATTATCACCAGACAAACGTATTTTGGCATGTTAAATGTACCTACTCTAGTAATTTTGCTGCTTCCTCACGTGTCACTATGTGGTCCATTATGACCCTTCCACATATAGATGGAATACAACCTAAAAAATGCCAAAACACACACCATGCTTTTTATTTCCATTTTTCTTTTCATATGGAAGAGACCTTAAATACCCACAGCAAAAAAAAAAAAATAATAATAATTATAATAAATAAATAAATAGAAAATAAATAAATAAAAATGGTACAAAAAAATTAATTAAGGCTTCATTCACATGGAAAGTCTATTTTCTAAATTCTATTTTCTATTCGCGGTATGTCTTGTGATCATGGTCTGTGCCCTGAATATCCCGCGGCGTAATTACTGGCAGCGCGAGCCAGTTACTTATATAAAGCTGTAATTAATTCTCGGCTGTGCTCGGAGGAGATTCTGATACGCTTGCCATCGGATCATGATGGTTGCACTCGTATCTGTCGTGTGTATAGCTTCTTCATCTTCTTCGTCTTGTTGTTGCACAAAATCGTTGCCAGTAATTACGCCGCGGGATATTCAGGGCACAGACCGTGATCACAAGACATACTGCGAATAGAAAATAGAATTTAGAAAATAGACTTTCCATGTGAATGAAGCCTTACAGTGTTATTTGGAGGTTGGGAAAGAGGTTGTTTGAAAACTGTTGGGAAGCCAGAGAACATGAACACAGGCACCAAGAAAATTTGTTAATGTTGTGCATGTATTTCTTTTGCAACAAATTTGTTTGCAATAATTTCCTTATTTTTGCATACAATGAAACATTGTCAAATAATATAAAATTTGGTTAGTTGCAATTTAACTGAATTGTATCATATTCAAGTATTATATTCAGGTCCGAAATTAACATCATCGGAAGCCAAAAGTTAGTTTTGGAGGAAGAGTCCGATAAAGAGGATCCAGTAGGAACCTGGATTGGAAATCAACGCTAATCTAATCTAATCTAATCTATACATCATATTCAGTCAGGTTACCTTTTTCTATTCTTTAATTTGCAGAGGCACACTTGATTATAGATAGGATTAGTGACATGAAACAACTTATATGTTGTCAAATATGCTACATTGCACCAACAAATAAACAAGTCTGCTTCCAAAATGCAAGTTATTCAATCACAGCACTTACCTTTGAACATTACCTTTTCCTTGTCATAATCTGATGAGCATCCAACTTCAATGAACCTATGAGGGATGTCCTCATTTATTGTGGCAAGCTGACCATATTCTTTTTCCTCAAAATCAACAAAAGTCCTTATGACTAGTAATGAGCAAATAACAAGTGCACCCTGCAGAAGAACCCTTGTATAAGGGCGGTCTCCTTCTTCCTCCTGAACATGTGCTTCTCTAAAGAAAAAAGTGGAAATGTGCAAGGTGTTTGTCATATTGTTGTTGTTACTCAGAATACTAATGCACTGGAAGGTCACTAGCATACACACTGACTTTATTTCACTACGCGTGGACACTTAAAGTAAGCACAGTGGTCACATGATACATATTTATAAGAATACTACCAACAGTGCCCTGGACAAATTTTATATTAATTCAAAAACTACATGTACATGCATGAACAGGTACGTACTGTACTAGTACCTGTATCTCTAGTCTAGTTATGCAAGTGCTGAGCAAAACTTTGTGTATTTGATCTAAATGTATGCTAATCCCTTATTTGAATTTAAGGGACATTATTTACCAGTAACTCGATTCATGAAATGCTTGTGAATATAATTTGTGTATTGTGCGTTGTGTATGTATTACATGTATACAAGAAAAAAATTTGTGAACGAACAGAAATACATGTAGGCTTAGATTACCCCTGTAGTCTAGATAACAAAATGATATAAGAATTCAAACATTGAGGTATCTTAAGACAGTTAATGACATTATTGCAGTTTGCAAAAGGAAACATAGCATGAACGTCTGAAACACGTTAGGAATCACAAAGAAAATAAATAATACCTTTTCTGAGCTGTTGGTTCCCCAGCCTTTCTTCTTCTTGTTGTCATTTTGCTAAATCGTTATCGTCACAAAGCATCTCAAGTTCAAGAGCCCATAACTTCTAAAATGACATTTATTTTAAACAGCGCTTATGCTGCTATATCGAATTACCAGGATGAAATAAAACGTTTTACTTTGCTCTGAAAATAAACACGTTTTCGGCGGAAGTAAGATTCTTGACCTCCATATTAAGAAGAGTTTTGAAAGGCGAAAGCGAAAGCGAGGTATACATTGAACGGGGGAGGGGGAGCCAAGAGTATTTATTTTGAGTAGGTGCGTCCTGACATCTTGTGTCTTTTACACACAGTGCACCCAAACNCTACCGGTTTTCGAGACAGAAATAACATATATATACATTACCAGTATATACCGAGCTCAATGTGTTATTAACATTGTCGTTGAAAAAGAGGTGGGTCTGTTTGATTCGTTACCAACGGCCTAGGATCGCTGTAACTAAAGCAGTGATATATTTTTGCCATCATTAAAGGGGCTGTTCATGGCATTTTTGAGTGAAATAATACAGAGCGAATTATTCCTGCTCCATCGATAGTATTCCAGTACTCGTCGAACCTCGAGCCCTTGAGCTGCTAACTGATTTTTAACCCATGAAATACAAGTTTCTGTTCCCTATATTTCAGCCGACCCTTGCATTTCACTTAATTTAAATAAACAGTCTCGAACAGGAGTATCAATACAAGTATTGCTGCGTATTAAGATGAACTTATTGAATTAAAGACAAAATGATTATATCATTTGTTCTTGTCTATCAACCTTTCCTACCCCTTTGGGTCCCGTTAAAAAGTTCAAGAAGGAAAAGAAATGGAAAATGTAAAGAGAAGAACGACAGTGAACTCAAAAGTCTGTATGCGCTCTGGCTGAATTTGAAAAGAAAAAAGATGCAATACCAGATTTCAAGTGCAAAAGTAAGAGGGAGGCTAAATGAATTGATAACACAGATTATGCTGGCTTCGGTGTCACTCGACAGGACCTGATGCTCGACATGAATTTGAACACAAGAGCTACCTCTCATTATAATTTCAAGTGCTCTGTTAGTAATTTGATCATTTCGATAGAATTGCACCCCATTATGAATGCTGGCATTCAAACACTGTCGATAGAATAACAAATAAAAGAGTTACTCCTTTACACGCAACATACATTTGTTAGACGCCCTTATTCGGTGTTGAATATAACTTGTATAAGGAAAAAACTTTACAACCATTTTTCGAGTGTTTTATGTTCTCTGACTTGCAAGTATCCAACATGAAATTTGAATTTTTTAAAAAGAGGCTTTTAATGTCACATTGAATTTAAATATTCAAAATAATAAGAGAATGAATAGTTTAAAATTTAAAGGACAACATAGCTGTAACAATGAGACATACCTCCTCTACAAGACGAATTTTAAAAGCTTCAAGGGCGACGCGTCGATTATAGTTATTGATCCTTTCCATTAGTTGCTCCCGGTCAGCCAAAACCTCTTCTGTCGTCCCTTCTTCACACACTTCTTCATTCTCCTCCTTGGCTTGCTCGTGAAGACTTTGTAGGTGCGCCAATACCTGAGAGTTGACAAGCATGTTCAAATTGGACCGTTTACTCTGAAACAGTCCCGGGGCTTCGTTCCCCTTCTGTAGTTCTTCTAACAGAGAAGGCGACATTTGTGACATTTTGGTACTATGTCGCTACGGGTGCAAACTAGCCAAAATCTCGGTAACAATCGCACGTAGTGTATACCTTGCCATCAGAGGAACAAGCGAAGGGAGCCATAGTGCGCGTTTTCAACTTTAAGACAGCAGCTATCCCTGTACTGTATGCATGGTTACTTCCACTTTATCCAAGTTCGTTGAATGACAAACAGCGATGAAAAAATTCCATAATCTCAGGATAAGCGAGCGCCGTTTGCGCAGTAGTATTCCTCAATAACTGTCCGCTGCGAGTGTTTGTTATATTCCACCTAATGTACCACAGTACCTTGTATCATCTCCAACATGGGCAAACTGCGGGACGTGAGGAGAATTGATTTAAGATAGCCGAGTATTGAATATCATATCACCAGCTCACACGGGGCATGCGTACACAGTCCAGCCGCCCAGTACAAGTTTATGTGCTGTAGTATCTCCATCTAAAATCATAGGTGTTTTTTTCAGAACACCGTACCTCAACTGACGATTTTGTTACCGAAGCCCTAGTAAGGAAATGCCACCTATTCCTGGTTTGTCACATACTGTTTACCGTACTAACCAAACAGGATTAACGTTTGCCTCGAAATATTTCAAAAGAAAGCCGCGCAGTGGGAAAGGACTTGATCGGTTTTGTTATAATGTACAAACCAGTATATGTGTGTGTGTTTCCCGAAAAATGCAAATACGATTTGACACAAAAATGACACCTTCAATGACTTCTAACTCAAAATTCATAATTAAAACGCTGTTTGCAATTCCCTACTATAGTAGTACATGCAGTTAATAGATGCTGGTCGGTTACATCGACGTGCGTTTTCTATTTGACCAGCGCTAGTCAAACATCTGAACACCATTCATTATTTATCATTTTGGTTTAGGGAAATAAAAAGAAATCGAAGTGGTAACTCGTAATACCTATGGGTCAAGTGCTGTTACATAAATTATTTCAGGGGTTTTACTTCAAGGTTAATAGTGAACAGCGCCAAACCCCCGTTTTATTCGCGCCTCTCGATAAAAATAACTAGGACTTCATTTCCATTGAGAAAAGAGAGAAAGAGAGAGAAAAAGATTTATTAAGATGGAATAATAGTTCTTACCAGAGCAGAAGTTGGTTGCTACTGGCCAAAGTTGATCAGACGGAATATTTGATCGACCCAGCAAATTCATCCACGACCAATTCGATTTTTGATGTATTAGAAAGGAATGTTGATTGTAAAATTATGTTCAAGGACATTTTGACTTAAAATTTTAATTTGTTTGATATCATCAAGGCAATGACAAAATATGTGCTTGTTTAAAATAGGCCTTGGCAGTACAAAATTTAGAATAGCAAATCGTGAAAT